AATTTCCTTTTCTTTTGTAAAATGATTCCTAAGTCTCAAGTTTTTAATTAACCCCTTATCGATCTTTTGCACTAAAGTTCTGGCATATGAGATGCCTAATATGGAAATAAATGCCCCATATTGATAAGTTATTACTTCTGGGAAAGGGACTGGAAGGGCAGCGGGCCCATGGTCAGAATTAATTAGGATTATCTATAATGCTATAATAATTTTTTACAAAAAGAAAAATATCCACGTATTACTTATACAATTAAAAACAAAAAACAAACAAGCTCTAGTTATATTAGACCAGTACACATTCTCAGATCTCTAGCTCAAATTTCATTTCCAGAAAATGCTATGGCACTGTTTAATCTTCAATTGGGCAACTCAGAGTATAAAATAATTGAGGCACCTCAATTTCTGGTAGCTCAAAGTTTTTTTAAAAGCCAACTTTATGAGTTAATGACAGAAGAAAATGTTGAACTACAAAAATGTAAATATTGGGTTGGCCAAAAAGTCCATTTAGTAAAATAAAGGCCACATTTTCCATTTTCACCAATAACTTTATTGATTTGGATATTGAGTATGCCAGCTATCTCCCATGTGGGTAAACACTGATAGTGATCAAATCAAGACATTAATTGAGAACAAACAACTATAACTGATCTACTTGACTGTGGAGCACAGTCCAGCATAAAATTTCCAGCATGGAACTTTGCAAACCACTTTTGACATGTTCAATCAGTCATAGCACCTTCTCCATATACTGCACAATTTTTTGTGCTTGTTTCAGTTGTGTTTTTACCTTTCTTGAAATAATAAAGCCTGATATGCTGAAAATGTTGCATATTTTCTTCCATCTTCAATATTAAAATGGTTACACAAAAATTAACCAATTTTGGTAAGTTTTTTTTAAATGCATGCTGATATGACAGCTGTCACAACACAATCTAACAAAATTATTATTTTTTAAAGGAATGGTAATTTCTTTTTTCTTTTTTTTTAAAGATTTTATTTATTTATTTTTTAGAGAGGGAAGGGAGGGAGAAATGGAGAGAGAGAAACATCAATATGCGGTTGCTGGGGGCCATGGCCTGCAACCCAGGCATGTGCCCTGACTGGGAATCGAACCTGCGATACTTTGGTTTGCAGCCCACACTCAATCCACTGAGCTACGTCAGCCAGGGCTACAAAATTATTTTGAATGAAGTTAAAGACAGCTAAGTGTTACAGAGCCATCTTATGGAAAAAAGCAAACAAACTTTTTGGCCAACCCAATATTTATAAAAGAAAACAGTAAGACCATTTTCCAACTATAATTAAAGGGTACATATGTACTGTGTTTACTTTAATAATTCCTATGTATAAAAGGGGGAAATTTCTACTAAATATATAAATTTTATCTACTAATAAGAATAAATTTACTTGGAAAAAAGTTCTCAAACCAAGTGATAATTTTCTGACACCAATTCACAAAAAATTAATTTTTACTTAATTTTTTTTTACTTAAAATAAAATTGTTTTTACTTTGAAAACATACACAACACAAACCAAAGGCAACTTTTGGAAATCATACTTATAAACCTCAACTAAAGGCCTTTTCAAGAAATACTATATAACTATGATACGTGTACACAGACCATGAAAATTACAAAATATTTTTTTAAAAAGACATGACTGTGAAAAGATACACCCTCTTTGGAGTCTCTAATAATCACCACCAGCCTCTCTATCTAATCCTCATCCTACTCCACCTCTCTCTAGTTGTTGACATTAAAAGATCTTGCCTTCAATGATATTAATCTCTTTTTTTCTACTTCCTTAAACACCTTATCAGTCTTCACTGAAGCCTCATTTTCCTTACAACACACTCCTTATCTTCTGAGGAAATTTCATTCATTCCAGGGGAGTCTTCAAGTATCACTTCATGTTAATGACTCTCAAATCCACATCTCCAGCTCTTTTCTCTAAGCCTCATATCTGCATTCCCAACAGTCAACCAAAGATGTTCTCCAGGCAACACAGATTTAACTTGTTTTAAACCAAACTCACCCTTTCTCCTTCCCAGCCCCCACTCAAAACTGAATGCTCTTGCTGTGTTCCTTGTATCAGTTAATGAATGACAGCCATATTAACAAACATTTTTTAAAACTCTTTTCCTTTTCACATCCTCTTTTCCCCTTCGTCCCTAAATCCTATTTGAAGTTACTCCTGTGAAGTATATTCCTTCATTCGTATTTCCACTGCTATCACCCTATTCATTTCATTTGGTAATAGCCTCCTGGTTGGTCTCACTGCCTCTACTCTCTCTCTATTCTAAATTATAAACTACAGATTACATACCTAAAGTATATGTGTGTATATATATTTTTTAAATGTGTGTATAGTTATATATAATTACACGTAATACTTTAAATATGTAATCAACAGACATTATTTTATAGTTTGAAAGTTACTGTTGTAGGAACTTGTTAAGCTCTAAAAGTATATATTGATATGCAGTTATATGTAATTTTTAAAATGTTCCTCATTTTAACAGACACAACACTACTGTCTGTAGAATGAAGTCCAAATTCCTTAGCATGGCTCTTAGGGTCCATCACAATTTGACCCCAATTTTATATTTCCAGCTTCTCCTTTTACCATCCTCCTCTTAAGTAATTTATATACTTCAGCAGACATACCACAAACATGATTCAACTCTTTTCCTCTGCTTCTGCTAATCCCTATTACCTTGAAACAACCTGCTAATCCTCCACCAAACAAAATTAACTGTTCTCTCCTCTATGCTCCCAAATACTTTGTTCGTACCTCCAACACAGAACCTATTATAATATATTAGTGTTAGAGTGAATACAAGTCTGCCTCTCTGACAAACTGGAAGGAAACTGAGTGTTATTCATCCTAACATTCCCATCCATTGTTTGTCTTACAGAAGTGTTTATGTTTGTTTAATTGAATTGAGGACAGAGCCTCAGAGGTGATCTATAATTAAGGGTTTGCTAGAAAGAGAAGAATATGTTTAGAGGTAAGGAAGAAGTCAAAAGAAAGACAACTAGGAAAATACAATGTCATTAAGCTGTTTTTTCCTGGGCAATCGTAAAGAGTCAAATGTGACACAGAAGCAGATGAGGATTAAAAAACTACCTTTTGTGACAGTAAAAATTATTTGCTATAGATACAGCTGACAAAAGCTAATATATTTAACAAATAAAGATGCATAAGAGTAAAAGACTTAACTCCAGCAAAAAAAGGGTGAAAAATGAACAACTATTCATAGTAGAAAAATGTAAAACATATGAAAAATTCTTCAAATTCACTGATAATCAGAAAAATATGAGTTAAAAAATTAAACATTTTTCACTTATCAAATTGGGAAATTTTTTTCAATGATAAGATCCAAGAAGAAAAGGGTATGAAATGGTTATGCCCGGCCATGTGTGGGGGGGACTGTGAATTAGTATAATACTTCTGGAGCTAATGTAAATATATATATAGAAGTAATCCTAAAAACAGATCCTTTGCCTCAGTATTTTCACTTCTAAAAATTTATCCCAAGAAAAATAGACATTCCAAAATGTATGCAGAAGGATGTTCACAGTAGCACCATAAATCTGAAAACATAAATGTTTACCAACAGAGAAGTGGTTAAAATAACAACACATTTCTATACAAAAATATTATATAACAAAATTTTTAAAGTATTTACTAACACAGGAAAAGGATCATTGTATGATGTTAAGTGAAAAAGGAAAAAACTGAATGTAGCATGAAATAAAAGAATGGGAAGAAATATATAAATTATTAACTGTAGTTCTTCCTGTGCAGAGTCCCTACCAGTCACTAAGATTATATAATAGTTGTATAATTAAGAAAAAATATGTTTTTAAGAGGTCATTTGATTTTCCTTAAAATGACTTTTGCAAACTTCAAAAAGGTTTGTAAGAAAAATGTAGAAGCCAGATTACAGAGATTTAAAAAAAAATAAGTAGTAAGAAGAAGAATACAGACAGTTTGTTAAAGAGTTCAATAGCAAAGGAGAAACAAATTAGATGGTAGTTAAGAGGACTAAATCAAATAAAGCTTTATTTACCATTTAAACTTAGGATACTTGAGCATATTTCAAATCAGAAAAAAGAAATGCAGATGATGAAATTCAGGATACTAAAAGGGGAGAGAATACATGTAAATTATAGACCTCTACCTGTTATTAAAATACAAAGATACTGGTAGAAAGACCATGAATGTGACAACATATGTGGCCAGTTAGCTTTGTTTTAATCTACCCCAACTCAGACAATTGTTTAAGAAATAATAACGAATACAAACAGAAAACATATGACCAGATTAAAGTGAATTAATTACTTCTATTAGAAAAACTTCAAAAACAGATGTTCTTTGGAGGGATCAAATCCTGTGATCTTTGTATAAAACATTCTTTCTGCCCTCGCTGGTATGGCTTAGTGGGCTGAGTGCCGGCCTGCAAATCTAAGGGTCACCAGGTCAATTTCCCGTCAGGGCACATGCCTAGGTTGCAGGCCAGGTCCCTGGATGGGGGCATGTGAGAGGCAACTGGTGATGTATCTCTCACACAGCGATGTTTCTCTCCCTCTTTTTCTCCCTTCCTTACCCTCTAAAAATAAATAAATAAAATCTAAAAAAATATAAATTCTTTCAACCATTCAACACAATATTCAATAGTACTAAATGTAAGGCACTCTGTGAGTGATAGCCTCTGCTTCATAAATATCATATTCAACTAGAAAATATAGATATTAAACAAATTGATGAGCAAGCATAATGAGCACTATGGAAAGAGACCCATTAGGTACTGAGGAAGCATATGACACCATGACAGGAATCAAATTAAAAATCAGATTCACAAACATGAAGACTAGAGAAAAGGATTAAAAATGTCAAGCATATATTATTCTGTTGTTTTCAACACTTTATAGTTAGAGAAAGAATGAACATAAACACCAATGTTGTGATTAAAGATAATTATGAATAATACATACCTATACGAAGGTCTCTTTGTAAAACATTCTTATCATAAACATAGAAAGACAAATACTGGAAAGTTCTTGGAATCTCAAAGTAAAATTCTTCACTGAAAAATGGGCTAGAGAGAAAAGGGGGGAAAACTCATTATTTTAAATTTAACAGTGTCCTCAAACAATATTTTCAATAAAACAAATCAAATTACACACTAAAATGCCATAAAAGCTTCAAAAGCTCCAAAATAATTCTCTATGCTAAGTTTCAACTAAATCCTGTATAAACCAAGCTCAACTATGAAAGAACCTCAATCACCAGGGTTGAGCTCTGAACAGATTTTCAGGAGTCATGTGAACAGAAGACTCAGTAATTACCTAGGGTCATGCTCACCTTTTAAAGTGGACACAAAGGAGAGTGGAGGATAGTGTCATCATCTCCAAAATATGCAAAGCTATATTAATCACAAAAATATGACACCCAAAATGGGTAATGTTATGTGAAATGTTATTTAAAATATATTTTCAATATTAAAATAGGTTATTTCTTAATCAACTTTACTGTGCTATAAAGTACATATAACAAAATTCAATTTAAAGTATAAAGATTAGCTCTGGCTGGTGTGGCTCAGTGGACTGAACACCAGCCTGCGGACCAAAGGGCTGCCAGTTTGATTCCCAGTCAGGGCACATGCCTGGGCTGTGGGCCAGATCCCCAGTAGTGGGCATGTGAGAGGCAACCATACACTGATATTCCTCTCCTTTTCTTTCTCCCTCCCTTCCCTCTGTCTGAAAGTAAATATTTTTTAAAAAAAGTTAAAGATTAATGATTTTTCATAAGTTAATAAACTGTGTAGTCTACATCTCAATTAAGATATGGTAACATTTCTATATCACCATAAAGTTCCCTTTTGCTCTTCTACAGTTGCCCTACCACACTTGCCCCAGGCAACCAGTGATTTGATTTCTATCACTATAGATAGATCTGGTGTGGAATTTCAGACAAATGGAATCAAATAATATGTACTCTTGTGTCAGCTTATTCCACTAAGCTTAATGTCTATGAAATTTTTTCCATTGTCTATGTATATCAACAGTTCCTTTGCTTTAATTGTGTCATAATACTTCATCTATGAATATTTCACAATCCATTCTCCTAGTGATGTCATTTGAGTTATTTCCAATTTGGGCTATTAAAAATTAAGCTGCTATGAACAGTTTCATACAAGGCTTTCTTTGAACATAAGCTTTCAATTCTTTTGGGTAGGTAATTAAGAATGAAATTGCTGGGCTAAAGGGTAGGTGAATTTTTAATTTAGAAGAAACTGTCAAACTGTTTTCAACATGATTTCCAATCTTTTTACACTCCCACCAGCAATGTATGAGCGTTCCAGTTATCCCATATCATTGTCAACTTTTGCTATTGAAAGTCTTTAAAATTAGCTATTCTAGTGAATATGACATGATGAATTTATACACCTGTGTAATCTCTTCTTCAGTCAAGATATAGAACATTTCTATCTGCCCAGAAAGTTCCTCCTTCATACTGTCACATGAACCACTGATCTGATTTTTATTTTGACACATTATGTTCAAGAATCTATAGTGATAGGTATAAAGTGACTAAATGGTAATGGAAAAAATACAATGAAGATTTTAAAAAAATCTATAGTGACAAAAATGGCTTAAAAATGGCATTTCCCTGATGACTAATGGTGTTGAGTGTCTTTTCATGTGCTTGTTGACCATTTGCCTATCTTCTTTTGGGAAATACACATTTGGGTTTTCACCACATATTTTAAATGAGTTGTCTTTATTCTTGTTTTTTATTCAATCAAATTCTGGATACAAGTCCTTTGTCAGAATATATTCTCCAAGTTGTGGCTTGTGATTTCATTTCCTTAACAGTGTCTGTTGAAGAACAAACAGAAGGCTGAGATTTTTATGAAATCTGGTTCATCCATTTTTCCCTTTTATAATTAGTACTTTTTGCATCCTATATAAAAAAATCTAGCAGCCCTGGCTGGCGTAGCTCAGTGGATAGAGCGCGGGCTGGGAACCAAAGTGTCCCAGGTTCGATTCCCAGCCAGGGTACATTCCTGGGTTGCAGGCCAGAACCCCCAGCAACCGCACATTGATGTTTCTCTCTCTCTCTATCTCCCTCCCTTCCCTCTCTAAAAATAAATAAATTAAAAAAAAAAAAAAGAAAAAAAAATCTTTGCCTAAGAGTTTCTCCTATTAAACAGATTGTTTTTATAAATGCATTTTAAGAATGCTATTTTGACATTTAAATTCTATGAAGACAGGAATCTCTGAAATGCTATGAACATCTTGTCAAGAATTCCTGTCCTGAGAAAGTTTAGTTTAAAAAACAAAAAGATACTTTGAAAATGTTACCATAAAATGCAGTCTCTTTGGGATTTCACAACTTAAAGAAAAGATGAAATACAAAGTAAAATGCTCCTTGAGAAGTCTTTTCCAACTTTGTCCAGAAAACATTTGGCTCAGCTTTGCAGTTGAATCTGGTCAACTTTTGTCAATATTTTTGTCACGTCAAATGTAACCAAGGTAAACTCTTAAAAGTTGGTCTGTCAAAATAACTTGTCTTCTAATTCATCTCAATAGAAAAATCAATAGGAAAACAATTATTAGGCAAAGGCATGGCATGTTTAGGTATTTTTCTCCTTTGTATCATTTTATAAACAATTATGGAGACTTTCTTTTATAATGTCATCTACCTACACCTGAATAAGCCAAATAAAAATAATATGAGAATTACTGTATCATTATATCATCCCAATCTCAACAATATCCACATCTGGATGCCATTTTTATTTTATAAATAAATTAATCCAATTGAAGAAAACTTTTCAACAAAATTGGTAGGAAGCAATGACTAGACTTACATAGTTTTTTAAACAATATTCTACTGTTCATTATCATTGACTGTGATCATGCATATGACTCCTAAGGAAATTCCTGGTGTGGTCAAGAGGAGCACCAGGTACAAACAGTACTGCTGTTACTCTGTTTATATACCACCTACTTTTTATAAGGATTTGAGTGAAGTACAGATTTAGGAACTATGGGTTCCATATGTGACTCTGACTTACCTATTATGAAAGCTCTATCTCCAGACTACCTATAAAAACTATAATATCCAGAACCCACAAAAGATCTAAGTCAGGGGTGTCAAACTCATTTTCACTGGGGGCCACATCAGCCTCATGGTTGCCTCCAAAGGGCCAAAATAATTTTAGGACTGTATAAATGTAACTACTTAACTGTTAAGGAGTTGCAATTACATTCGGCCCTTTGAAGACAACCTCAAGGCGGATGTGGCCCTCGGTGAAAATGAGTTTGACACCCCTGATCTAAGTGGTATCTACTGACTTTTGACTTAATAGCTTATCACAATATCCACAAAGGTAGAAAACACTGAAATGAACCTAGGTGAGCAAGGGCTTATATTATAGATTCTTTCACACTATTCTACAAGAAAAAAATGCCAGGGGGCACCTAGAATCCAAGAAGCACCTAGTCTAACTAACTAGTACACAGTCTGTATTGAATGACCTAAGGTAACCACTGTTAGCTTTAAAGTATCTTCCAAGTTGCTATGCATCTAAAAAAATAATTTAAGATGGATAAAAATAATTATTTTATCATTTCCTTTTCCTCAATACAAATATCTGTAAAGGTAAGGGTTAAAAAAAATAAAGTAATTTTAGTTATTAATTGAGAAGGCTACATATTACCACAAGTAATTGATTTATGGGCAATTATTAGTTTTGTATATCACTGATCTTTGTGTGATATGGAATCAGCATACATAAAGGAACACAATGAGATTTAAATAGTTTCAGGTCCCAATCTTAGTTTTACTTCAAACTTCCTTTATTGTATGTACAAATTATTCAGCCTTTTGGTGACTCAGTTTCATCATTTATTACACAAGTATCAACAATTCTAATACAACAGGGACAGGTAATTTATGACTAAAGATGTGAGGTGTATTACGTCAAATTTTTTTGAGTTACTCCAGTCTTTTCAGCTTTGTACAACACCTTTTTTATGAAGAATCTATAGACACTCAAAAGTATAAATATTGACAATAAAGACATAAAAGGGAAAACTTCAGGGAGAAAAACAGTGAGTGCAAAGGAAAAAAGATATGAAAAGAGCATAAAAATATACACATGGCATACAATTTGCATTAGTCATGACACTCAATTATTTCATGCACCAGATGTTCATTCCTACATCTCCTGACGCCCTTGTTTTGACTCTGATGTCTGAAAATGCCTGCGTCCTTCCCACACAGCTCTGCACTAGAATGTCCACAAACACTATTACAGGATAGAGGTGGCACACTTCAATTTTATGAGTTAGAATTCACTATTATGCTCTCAAAGTGCTGTTACACTTTCAAAAACGAGAAATTGACTGAAGAGTTAATTCCTTAAGTGACTTGTATAAGCTGTAATAAATTATCCTCAAGTAAAATGATGTAGTTTGAGAAAAGTTGAAACCAATGGGCAAAATTTAGCCTTGAGAACAAACTGAGGTCTATAATAGTTGTTTTAAAAAACCTGCGAGTGTCATGTGAAGGATGTTTGAAACTTGTTATCCAGAAATCCAAAGGACAGAATTAAGAACAATGAGAAGGAAGATACATTTTGAGGCAGTGAAGGGCCACATGAAAGTAAGCACTGTGTCTCATCTTGTTCTCCTGGATGTATTAATAAATAGCACCCAGCAAGTTTTTGGCATATAGTAAGCTCTCCTTTTATTAGATATTAATCAACTAAAAATAGTAGCTTTCTAAGAGTCAGAATAGTTCCAAGACCAGACTGGCTGCTTAGGAGTCAGTCAAGCAAACGCCAGATGACCATCTGTCAAAGATAATTGTCAGAAGGAAATAAGCATAAGGCAGTTAGTCCAGCTCAAAGACCAGTAAGCTCCTTCAAAGTCTAAGATTCTGTAATTCTAAAATTAAATTCAAAAGGTAAGAGAAAAATAAGTTCCATATGAAGAAAAGTCTTTTTGATGAAGTCTTGAAAGTATATAAATGTATTAATAAATATATATCTGTATATAACATGAATGATAATTTACCAACTTTTACAGACCTTAAAGATTTTTCAACAACTTGGGTACGATAAACTTCTTCCTGATCCAAATTTATGGTGCAGAAACAATCTCTCATTTTGTTGGGTCCAGGATACGGCAATAAATTTTTTGCTTCACCTGTTGGCACAAAAATTGAAATTGGTGTTAAATATCACCAGCTGTTTCATGCTAAGCCTTATATTAATTCATCTGAAGGAACATATAAGATGTAGTACAGGGAAAAAAATTAGTGATTAGAGAAAGTTGATCAACTTGTTTTAAAGAAGCTATGAGGGAGGAGCTATGTATAAAGAGGCAAGTGAGGTCATATTACATCACTGAATTCCTGGCCCTGGAAAAGTGCAATTCCTTAACTTGTGCTGTCCATCCCATCCCACTAGCACCAACTCAAGGGCTGACCCTACAATTAATCCTTCTTTCCTATACCATCATTAATTTTCCTTTCTAATAGACCATTCCCATCAGTACATAAGTAAGCTTTGGTATTGCCCAACTTTAAAAAAGCACAAAAAGAAAAAGCAAACCTCCTTTGACTCTACCTCCTCCCCTGTGATATCATTCCATTTCTAGACTCCCTTTGACAGCAAAACTTCTTGAAAGCAATTATCTCTAATTTAATTCTCATCTTCCATTCATTCTTGATCTCTTTCCAATTAGCTTCTAACTCCATGAGACAGTGAAACTGCCTTCCACATTGCCAATCCCAGTGGTTACTTCTCTGCCCTCACCATACCTGATCTGGCAGCACTATGTAAAGTAAGTGAACACTAACATCCACCTTTATAATGCCCTCTTCTTGGCTTCCACAATTCTGGCTTTCCTTCTGCAACACTGGCCCTCTCTCCTGATTTCCCTCTCCTCACCTCTAAATATTACAATGCTTCAGGGCTCTGTTATGGACCACCTTCTCTTCTTCCCCTATGCAAATTTCTTCAGTATAAGGTGTTATAATGTCTCCCAAATCTGCATTTCCAGGTCTCATATCTCCTCCTCAACACTGGATGCAAATATCCAAGTTCCTCCTTGAATTCCAGTAGACATCTCAAATTTAACAAGTCCCAGACAAATCATCTGATTTCCTCCCCTAAAATATGCTCTTCCCCCAGTCTGCTACCATCTTCCTCTTTTTCTCGCCATCTTCCCCAAACATCCCACCCCCACGTCAATAAATCCAGTAGACCTCTAAAATGAACTCCAAATCCAACCAATCCTCAATCACCTTCACTGGCAGCACTCTGCAATCTACTCTCTATCAAACAGTATAATCTTCTAAACTGTCATTCAGGTTAATCACGCCCCTGCTCCAATACCATTCCATTTCACTTGGAATACAATCCCTTTTCTAAATTCCCACTTTCAGGGTCGACATAGCCCTACTGAACTGTCCTCTCTGACCTCTTCTCCTGCCACCCTCTCCAGTGTTCACCTTTCCATTCATCAACCATGCCAAGCTTGTTCAACCTTAGGGCCTCTGCCTGGAATGCTGTAACCTATAGCTGGCTCTTATCATTCAGGTCTCAGCTCAAATGCCACTTCCTCAGAAAAACCTTCTTTGACTATTGTTACTACATTTCTGTTTCTTTTCATGATAGCATTTATAACTATCTGAAATTCTGTTAATATTACTTAAGTGGCCCTGGCTGGTGTGGCTGGCTCAGTGAGTTGAGCGCAGGCCTAAGAACCATAGGGTCGTGGGTTCGATGCCCAGTCAGGGCACATGCCTGGGTTGCAGGCCAGGTCCCCAGTAGGGAGTTTGCGAGAGGTAACCACACATTAATGTTTTTCTCCCTCCCTTTCCCTCTGTGTAAAAATAAAATAAAATCTTTAAAAAAGGAAAAAAATAATACTTGCAGAAATTTTTTAAAAAATATATTACTTAAGTGTTTATTTTCTGGTTTCCTCATTCTTGAGGCCTGAGAACTTGCTGATTCCTAAGATCTAAATTAGTGACTGCCATATAGTAAAGGAAGGCACTTGAGAGTATTTGTTGAATGAATATTAAAGAAGACAGTAAGTCTAGTTTTGAAGTTCTTGTGAGATACTCATGGGCCACAGGGACACACAAAAGTGTAGGTGTTGAAATCGGACCCCAGTGTACTAAGTTAGCAAAACAAGGCAGTTGACACAAGGAAAAGAGGTTTGCCCTAACAATCATTAAACCAATGTTCCTGTCTTACCTCTGATACTAAGTGGCTCAGTGACTTCAGACAACTCACTGAGGCACAATTTGCCTGAGGAATGTTTGCAATAGATAAACTTAAGTGTCTTACTGATTATCAACTTTAAAATGAAATGCCATTTAAACCAATATATTTTAAAGAAGTTCATTAGAAACTTAAACACCTAGGACAAACCCTAAAACAAATACTTTTTAAAAATTAAAATGAGAAAATTAATGGAAAGGCTCATTTTTATTAAGATACTCATTGTTATTAAGTTTGTCATTGAGAAATTTTTTTAAAAAATCAATTTACCACTTAAAATATATAAAAATACTTACATTCATCTTGAGTAAGATTCAAGGAATCTAGTCTTTTAAATGAACCCAGAATTACCCCATGTGGGTTGGATTTTACAAATAAACCCATTTATTAATGAGAAAAATAATACATAATTGATTATGTATCCATCCATTCTCTTACTCAAAAGACTAGGCATCCCTCCTCTCATCTAAAACCCATCTATAGTTTGCCCATCTACCTGTGCTCTCTCTACCCCATTCCCTCCCTCTCACTCCAGGGCTCTGATCACAATTCTGTTTTCATTATTTTCAAACTTTTTCTCCTTTAAGTCTTTCCTTCTTCTTCAACGTCTGCCCCCTGTATAATTTCTGCCTTGTTTTTTTAATGAAAAATCCAACTAGGTCACTCTATAGGGCCTGGAATGTAAACACATTTAGAATTAAATAACAGACATGCTCCACATCCAATGAGGAAATTTGAACACTAAATCATTGCCCTTGAATGTGTTCCTGTTTTGCTCACATAAGTGCACTTTAAGAAAACTACTCTATTAAATATATACATATTTTATCACCCATCTTTTTAAGAGGGAGACAATGTGGATTATGTTGTCTATAGCATCCAATGAACTTAACATTATCAGATATTTACTAAAAAATACATTTTAAAAGTTCTATATAATATATAAAATGTTCTCACATCATTTCTTATAAAAGCAGTTATCATGATCTGTACTCTTTGAGTATCTGTTACTAATGTTCAAATAAATTACATTGAAAGGAATTCATCTAATCAATGCCCAGCTCACCAATCAATCATACAAATACACTGATTAAATGAGCTATTAAGACTTTAAACTGCAACTCCAAAATTGGCGCTTTATTAAAAATATAAATCAAAATAATTAAATATCACTTTATTAAAAAAATCAAAAGTGAAGTAGCTGAATAAAAATAATGTACCCATTTTATCTCTAAGCAGAAAGAGATTATAGCACATACTTCACATCAAACTACACAAAAAGACAAAAGTGAGGAAATCTGAAAGACTGTACTTGTCCTGCATGTGATATTTGCTTTGGGCCTCACTAATTCTAGTTAATCATGGTATATATATAAGCAAGTGCGCTGGACCAAAAACCAAAAACAAAACAAAACAAATGCTGCTCCTTAAAAGGCAAGCTTCTTGAAAACTTCCTCTACAATCTCTGCTCTAATCCCTTCCCTCCTACTCACACAGTCTGAACCTGCAATTTGGCTTCTGACCCTATTTCTTTACTAGGACCTTTTAGAACACTAATAATATTAAGTGCTACAAAATCAAATGATTGCTTTTCAGTTTCCACCTTATTTAACCATGCTTCAGTATTTGATTATGCTGATCTAGTCTCAGTTCAGGGAGCCCACCCATTCTGATTTCTTTTACTCCCTTGTTCAGGCTTTTCATCCACTACCCATGCCTTAAATGTGAAACTTTTGGCATTTATAAACAACTAAATATTGGTGGAGCACCAATTTTAGGTATTTTTTAAAATGTGTCACTATAAAACAATAAATTATACTAAAAATACTTCTATGTTTCTCCACATCATTTGATGGTATTATTTGCTACCTTTCTCAATTTATCCATAACCCATTTGATGGTGTTAGCCTTATGGAGAACCAGGATCTATCCGTGGTACATGTGGTGGATCAATACCGGTCCTTGTCATCCATCTCAACATCATTTGATGTATGACTCTGCATTGCAGAAACTAGAAAGCTAAAAAACTACATTTCCCAGCCTGTCTTGCATTTAGAGTTGTGGATATGACTTAAATTCCACCAATCAGATGCACTCACTAGCAATCCTGGGGTGGGGGGTAGAAGAAAAGGGAGATTGCATTTAGGATGCTTCTGTTAACAAGCACTGTCATGGAGATGTCCAAGTTTTCTGCAGCAACATTTGCAGAGGTCCTTGTATCCAGTCACAGGTTTCACAGGTGTCAAGAAGGGCACAGGGCATCCATTCTGTCATACGGGTTTGTGACAGGTGTAGCTTGGCTCTACAGCCAGCTGTAGTAACAACTTACTGATGAACATGGCAGCTTACTGATGGCTGTTTCCTAACAGTGGCAGCTTCCTGATCATGGCAGAGGTGGCGAGGTTCTAAGCCACACAGCTAAAAGCTATAGCTTCCCAATTCTACAGATACTTTTCTGATCCTAAAAGAGACAGTGACTCTCTTGGTGATCTAGATGCAGTGTGGCTTTAAATGTCATTCCTGAAAGTTCAACATAGAGTCCGTTTCCATAGTCTGTCCAACAATTCTATAAGCCATTTGAAATCTTTTACTAAATCTCTTTCTGTTTAAACTAGCTAGAGCTGATTCTGTAAAAGTAACCCAGGACTAGTTTCTTTTCTTACCCTTTTTTCTCACAAATCAGAAAATTCCACCCTACATTACTAGTCATTAGAGTTTGGTAAATCTTTCAGCTAGATGTGGCTATCTGGGTCAAACATGGACTCAGAAATGATAAAGCAATATCTCACTAAAAACTACTTTTACTCTTTCATTAGGTAGTGAGTTGAATAGCATAGCACATTCAAAAGGTAAATGCTTCAACTTGGGAAATGGAGACAAATGGATCTTAATTTTCTGTATTGTTGTATCTGC